TTTATTACTATATATGCATTATTTTAATAAGATATCATTTTTTTTATAGATAAAGATAAAATCAATGTTAAATAATATGAGATTACTATAAATTTATCTATCCAAACCTCTAATAAAATTTAATATTGATGAATAATCACTCTCATGAAAGATTTTTTATTTTTTTTGTTTTAATTTTTTAAAGTTTCACACTTATTAATTTAATTTTATTGTTGTATCCATGATACTTAGTTTAATAATTTTTTACTTTAGACTAAATATTATTTTATATTGAAATTTATTTTAAATTATAATTTTTTTAAAAAAATCAGGTGGGTTGGTGGGCGGCCCGTTTAGCCCACCAACCCGTGGTGGGTCGGGCCGGCTAGAAAAATTTACATAATAAATTTGGTGGGCCGGGCCGGGTTGGCCCACTTAGAAAGTGGGTTGAGGTGGGCCAGGTCAAACGGGCCGGGCTGACCCGTTTTGACAGCTCTATATATTATGTTTATATTTACCTTGTGATTTTAATTTGTTGGTCTCATTTTTTTTTAACTATTTGAATTAAAAACAACAACAACAACACGCATGCATTGCACGGGATTTAGCTTTTAAGTTGCTTTAATAATTAAGTATTTATGTTAGTCAAAATTAGGGGGTGTGAGATTGGCTTGGTTTAATTTAGTCAAAATGAAGGAGATACAAAATTTAATTAGTCAAACAAAATCTATAAACTTACACACATAGACACACATTTTGTAATCCCAATACTTACTATTTATTGATTTATAAAGGTTTTTCTTTGAGTATTGTTATGGCATGAAGTGCGCATGTGTGTTTGTGAGCTCGATGGCACGCGTAGACCATAAAATAATCAGTCTTCTATATATTCTCCCTTCACCTTAACGTTTCTACGCTTATTTTGCTTTGTTTAGGATGTATAGTACTAGTGAATATTCTACTTTTTTCAGAAATCTGCACATGCCACTAAAATAAAGGTTCTCATTATTTACAAGTGGTTCCAATTAAATGCTTATCATCACCATAACTGATGTTTAATTACAGCCTCAACAACACCTGCATGTATTAATTACATCTCAAGCCTTGCTCGTGTAAATTAAGAGGCCAAACTGGGCCTAGCAAATAACATGTTCATTTTGTAATTTGACTCACAGTGTGTTTGGTTTCACGTTTCCCGAACTTGACTCACGTAAACGACGCGAAAATAAGACGTTATGATTTTTTACTTCTGCGTCAAATCGGTTAAAACGTGAATTGGAAACGTGAATCCAGACATGCACTCAACCTTAAAATTTTGTTAATAAAGTGAAAGTTGTGGGCTTTCACTTGTATCTCTATATAATTAGAATAGTTAATTGTTTTGAATAAAAGTGATTATAAGAATTGTTCTTACCTGAAATCGGTCGAGGAGACGATCTGTTAGGTAAGATTGGTGAACTTCCTTTACTTGATATGTCGGCTGCTCGAAAATGAGGTGAGTATTTGCAAAAGAGACTCTGATACTAAAATTAGTCTTTGATAGTGTAAATGTCTCATATTTATAATAGACGTACCTTAATGATTTTAGAATTTTTCTCTATTTGGGCGAGAGTAGGTCCGAAATTGACCCAATATTGACTGTAGGCCTTGTCAACCATGGACACACACGGTGTGATGTGATTAGGGCTGACGTGGAACTCATTATCTTTAAACGGGCTGTATAAGAACTATTTTAAAAAATAAAAATAAAAAACTGAATCGGATATAGTCGTCGCACGATCATCATATGATTGTAAAGAACTTCGTTGAACAGTAAACAAAACAAATAGAATTGGGCTGAAAGTGATTCACTTTATTAAACTTCAAGCATGACTATTTATAAGCCTTTACAAAACAGAAAGAGAGAAACTTGCAGTCCACGTAGATAACTAACTATGATATATCTAAACAGAATTAGAAACAACTATATGCACTATCCTTAGAAATAGGCATATTATTAAACAAATCTAAACAACTCCAGAACTTAAATCTTATCAATGATGACACTATCACATGACCAATACATGCAGCTATTTAAAATTTACGCATGTTCTTATTTTAGAAAAACTATATCATTAAACAAATTAACTCGACAGTTGGCTTATCTAGAAAGTATGCTGCAAGTGTTGAACTATACGGATAACCCATGTGACTTGGTGAATTAAATGAGTTGTCTTATGAAAAGAAACTTCTCAATTTTATTTTTGGATAATCCAAAACATTGAATAATAGTAAAACTAAGATATGGTAGAAGATTAGCAGAAGAGAAAATAGAGAAGGTTTATTTGGCTGCAATATCTGACAGAATAAAGGGGCCCACTATCTATTTTGTCCACCATATATAGTTGACAACATCTGAATCTATGTTTCAAGAAATTGCAAACATGTTGGAGTGGAACCCCCTACATAGAATTTCGGAACAATGAATAAACATTTTCCAAAAAGTAAAATAAAACACCAAATTACAATAATTTAAAAAATAAAATAAGATTATTATAAAGAGGTGGTAACAAGCAGTGTGAAAAGTGAGATGTGAATGGTGTAGGAAAAGAGGAAAGAGATTGTTGGCTTTATAAAAGTAGAGTAGAAGTAGATCCAACAACAACTGGCATTTTATTTCTTGTTCTTTTGTAAGGCTCACTGCAGCAAAAGTATGGTAAACATGCACGCACAAAAGTGATTCCATGGAAATGGAACCGTTGCGCCAAAAGCTGCATAATTATCGATTATAGAATGACCTATTCTTACATATACAATTCTTTTATTACTTATCTATTACAAATTATAATAACTAACCTATACAAGGATTCTTACCCTTTTCACTTTTATAATTAATTAGACTTTTTTTCTCGTATAGTCTTGAAATAAGTACATCTTTATTTTTTTTTCTATATATTATCTTGAAAAAATTTTCACTCAAAACTATACGATAGGAGGTTTTTATTATAAGACACGGATCTTATAGATCAATATAAGTAGTACATAATGTCATTAGTTAATTTTATTGAGTTTATAAAATAAATTTATAATTTACTAATTTTATTTTTGGATTGAGACACAAAATGTTTTTTTTTTTCAGAAAATGTTAAAATAGTACTAGTTTTAGTTGTAAAGGCCAATCATAAAATGCAGAAAGTATAAACTGAATATAACCAACTAACCACAACAGTCGGGAAGAGGCGCAAATGACGGCAAATTTTGTTCCTCCTTTCAACGTCAAATCGCTCATCTACCTCTCTCTCTATCATTGTCCAATGTCCACCCTATTTTTTTTTTTCTAAGGAAAAAATGTAAGAAGAGAAAAATAAAAATAAAAAATACTTTTATATGAGTAGAAGATAATGAAAATAAATAAACGAATTGTATAAAAAAAACATTTTTTTCTCATCATAATTTTTTGATAACTTATATGTTATGAAAATGGTATTTCTTTTTGAAGAAATGAAAAATTATAAAAAGGAAAAGATCATATCATGCCTATTTTCTATCAAAACTAAATTTCAAAATAAACCCTAAACAGTACTTAGCTGCGATGGACCCGTGTGTGGGTGAAAAGAAGGTAAATAAATACAAAGTTAAGTTGCTAATAGTTTGACTTTATGCAAATGGATGTGTACGTACGTTAATTCATTGTGGTGTCCCTATTTCAGAGATGCAAAACCCCAAAATTCAAATGATATCAGTCCCACTCAGCTATCATATAATTTGTCATCATGTTGTTAGGTTAAATAACCAACATACGCCATCCACAACACTAGAAAAAACACCCTCCATCCCATGTGCACACATTCAAACCTCACTTTATTACTTTCAACATTTTTTCTTGCACCACCTTCCATTTTCCATTTTTTTTGCCCTTCTTCTCATCCATAAACCCAAATATCAGTATGAAGTAAAATCACATAAGTTTTAAGAGTAATTCACAAAAAATATATGAAAAAAAAAATCAATGCTATTAACTCATCTTATTGTGATATTGTTCATTCTTCATACCCCCCCTTCCCCCCAAAGAAAAAGCTAAATAGGTAATTAAAATGTTATCATGGCCATATTTAATTAAAATCTCACGTATGTCAGTTAATGTATCAGCATAAATTCGACTGGTAAAACGAAACACATAAAATTGAGGCCCATGCCAAAAGATGTAATGGGATAATATCACAACTCCTTTAGGGCTTTTACTACTTGCACTCCCCTATATTGGTTAACTTCACTTCCTTCATTTTCAACATTTATTATCGTAAATACTTTTTTTATACCAAACTACACTTTTATATATATATATAAATTACATATATCGTAAGTAGTAAGTACTGTTTCTTTCTTTTTCTTTTTTAGTAATTGGAAGATAACAAAGAAAAAAAAAAAAAAAAAGACAAACTACACTAGCACACCTATAGCATTTGATAAAAGAGTCATTCTTAATCTAATACGTTTAACACAACCTATAAGAATTTTTCTCGGAACATACAAATCCACTATCAATATATTATTTAATTTTTGAAAATAATAATTTGCATTACACTCCCAAATAAACATTTTTTTTATATTGGAGGAAAATAGTAAATATTTCTATTATATTGTCGAGACATGCTATATTTACATATATCATTTTATCCACAATTAAGTAGCGGTGGTAATATGTTAAAAAAAAATTAGGAAACAGAATTTTTTTTATATACTCTCATTTCCTTAAAAATAAATTGATATCATCAGGCATGTTCCATTTGCAATGGTAAGGTTAATGTATTTAACAGTTAAAATTTAACATAATTAAATATATTACATATATTCTTACCTTGTTTTATTTGTCATATTTAAAACACTATTATACGTGGAAACTAAAATCAATTAATAGTATGGATGTTTATTTAATTACTATAAGCGTGAGATTGGGCCATACAAAGATTGGGCCATACTAAGATTGGGCCAGGCTTTGGTTCGAAAATAAAGCTATAAATAAAACTGAGAAATTCCCGTTTCCTCTTTTCGGCATAAGAATGGCGTCGTTGATATCAGATTTGCTCCGTCAAACTGGTGGCACCGCCGTCATCGACGGCGGTCTGGCGACGGAGCTGGAGCGCCATGGCGCGGACCTCAACGACCCACTTTGGAGCGCCAAATGCCTCTTTTCCTCCCCTCATCTCATTCGCCAAGTACACTCTCCTTTTCGATTCAAATTTGTTTACATTGACACACTAACCGCACCGTTTCGACTCTTAAACTTTTATTGTATTGTTTTCGATTTCATGGCATCACAACGTTAATTCATTTATGTTTTCGACTCTTAAACTTTTTTCTCTCTTCAATTGCAAATTAAAGTAATGATCGAGTTACTAAATGGAGCAGGTGCACCTCGATTACCTGGAAAACGGCGCAGACATTATAATCACAGCATCTTATCAAGTGAGTTGAGTTGGTTTGGTTTGGTTGAGCAGTGTCGTATTAATTTCTTTGAGTTGGTTGCTAATGCTGAAATTGAGGTGGTTGTTTTTGCACAGGCCACAATTCAAGGTTTTAAAGCCAAAGGCTTTTCTCAAGAGGAAAGTGAAACTATGCTCAGAACAAGTGTTGAAATTGCTCGCGAGGCACGTGAGGTGTACTATGAAAGATGTGCTGGATGCTGTTCGGGTGATGGTGCCCAAGGTAGAATCCTCAAAAAACGACCTATCCTGGTTGCGGCATCAGTGGGGAGCTATGGAGCTTATTTGGCCGATGGATCAGAGTACAGGTGAAATGATTATGATCTAGTGTTTAGCATTGGTCAAAATTTTTGTTTATATTGGTATGAAAGTGTGAATGATAGTTCCATATTAGATAGCATTGGGTATATTAAGTAACATATAAGTGTGAAAGACCCATAAACTTGATACCTTAAGGTTTTGAATTAAAATTTGGTGTCAAGTTTTTACTTGTGTGGTTTGTTCATAATTCAGTGATGAGATTCTCTCCGGTGTTAAACCTCCTTGAATTCTTAACAGTTTACTTATAGTATTGTGTGTATTTCATATCTCTGTTATGTCGCCCATTTATTGATTAACAATCAAGATGATATTCATGATCATGATATGTCATGTTTCAAAGTTGCGTGTTAAGCTCTGTATCGGTTATTTTGGCACAAATCTTTGTTGTTCTTAAAAGGAATGAGATCAGAATATTGTATGAACTGAATTTCTAGGTCTATCTCGTGTTTAAGGTTTTGAGCTTTTCTTTTTTAGCATAGAGGACCATTAACATTTTAGAAAGATTGGGGTTTGATAAACTTTTGCTGCTGTTCTCAGCACTGTTGGAAATTATATTTTTTTTATTGTAATGTTTATTGATATTTTGTTCCTAACAGTGGGGATTATGGTGATGCTATCACGGTGGAAACTCTAAAAGATTTTCATCGGAGAAGAGTTCAAATTTTAGCAGATTCGGGTCCTGACCTACTTGCTTTTGAAACAGTGCCCAATAAGCTTGAAGCTGAGGTATCCTAAAGCTTTGGGCAGCCAAATGCTAAACTCCCTTGGTTCTTTTTTATCTCTTTAGAAAGTGTCATCTGTCTCTTTAAAATTAATAAAGCTCAATTACAGTCAGAAGACCTAGCAGGTTGTCATATGATATTTCTGGATAGAGAAAAGAGCAAAAAGTTGATCATGTTGTAATATTACTCTCTTTCAATCCATACAATCTTTCTGTTTCTAAAATAGTCTTCCCAACTAAATTTACCCCAAATTCTGCCTTGCCTCCATAGACCACCAGAAACTGAGAAGGCATTAAATTTCTATTCTTGGAATTTCCATTGATTTTGTGAAAGGGTAAAATTCACAAGTAAATATGATGAGTAAATTAACTCACTTATGACATATATAATCAATTAAACTCCGGGATCAAGATAAAAATAATAGTCTTGGGCAATTAAAATTTGTAACCCTCTGCACTTACTATTTTCATTTTTGTCGTGACCCCAGAATTCACCTAACTATACTTATTGACGAAGCAGGCTTATGCTCAGCTTCTGAAAGAGGAGGACATAAAGATTCCAGCGTGGTTTTCTTTTAACTCTAAGGATGGAGTTAATGTTGTTAGTGGCGATTCTTTAATGGAATGTGGCTCTATTGCTGAATCATGTAATAAAGTTGTTGCTGTTGGAATCAATTGTACCCCGCCTAGATTTATACATGGTCTGATAGTTATGCTTAAGAAGGTAGGACTTTGGTACTCTTGTTTCCAACTGAATATGATGTTCATATGCTAATTGTTGAACTTTTATTTATTTAAATTATTTTTAAGTTACCACTCATAATATTTTGATTCTATCTACCTCCTCCTACTCTCTTAGGCCATTTATTAATTAACTTTGTTTCAGTTCTAAAAGTGTCAGTATCCTCATTGCCAAGTTGTTTACATTTTGATAAGTCATGTATACATTGGGTGGATAATAAATACACATGGATGTTAATCTATGTAGGTTCAGGAGTTGCATAATATCGTAAATAGCCTTCAAATTTTTTTTTTTTTTTAATGAAGATGCCTTTTATGAATGGGAGCTTCTTCAACTATACTTAACCTTTACCCTAATACAGTTTCACATTAACGTGCGACTATTTGTCTTTTGAAATATAGATTGTCTTTTTTTTCCTCTTTTTTTTATGTGTTACTCTCATCCAAGGAAATTTGCCAGTGTTAATAAGCAAATATATTATTATAGTCATGCGACTTTCTTTATGAAATACTTATCCTTGATTCGCTTGTAATATCTTCAGGTGACTACAAAACCAATTGTTATATATCCGAACAGTGGGGAAACTTATGATGCTGACCTAAAGGAGTGGGTGGTAAGTTCATTTCATTTGGTTGTACTATTTTAACATATCTATTATAGAAGATAAAACTATTTATGTAAATTATCGAATAAAATATGAACCACTACGCATTGGAAAATTGGATTGTGAAAATTATTCTGCTTGAAATAAATTAATTCATATGCTGTCAAATAAATGAAACTTGCAAAGGCAAACTTAATTAAAGAGTAAAAGTAGATAGGCATGTGCCTATTCCTTCTCTTTTCCTTTTTGGTGAAATCACTTTATTCATTTTTATTTGAACTGTACAACTGTTTCAGATTGTTATGTATGATTTGTCATTTAAAATAGAAACTTTCTCAGAAGTAGGAGTCTAAGTGTAAGTGATAGCCTGGTACTGGTAGGTATTAGAATGACAGATTTCACATTTTTTTATTATTAATAATTGTGTACAAATACACATGGAGATTTTAAGGAAAAGTAAAAATTGGATGCCAATAGCAGGACCCTCCTTTCTGTCGCTATCTGAATCTCATTCTAAATTTTGGGCTGATTTCTCATTTAACCTTACACAGGTAGTTGATAGATTTATAATGATCATGAAGTTAATGTGCGCACTCATGTTGGGAAGGTTTATGTATTGCTCTTAAGGAACTAAATCATTTCCTTGTACTAGTGATACATGATTTTAAACCATGTATAGGACGTAGTCAAGAGATATTAAATTATTAGTGATTATTTAATCATGTTCAGCCTGTGTAATTTTCTATATTCCTTGAAAGATAACAGCAAACAATGCATGTAACATTAGTTTCAAGAAATTCACGGAACTCATATGGACATGAATGCAGAAAAGTAAAAGTTTATGCTTAACCTAACCTCAAGTTATTTATCTGTTTTGAGCTATGTTTATATACTTTATTGTGTTTTACAAGTTTGATAAGCGCTTGCTTCATATTGTACATCCTTATCTTTGTGAGAGATCAAATATAGCATGATCATTTTAGAGAAAATATTTTGGGATATTGCTTGGATTATGTAATATTGATATTATGCTGTTGCTTTCGCAGCAAAATACTGGTGTTACAGATGAAGATTTTATCTCGTATGTAAATAAATGGTGCGAATTAGGGGCTTCTCTTGTAGGTGGTTGTTGCAGAACTACTCCAGCTACTATTAGGAAGATATACAGGGCACTGTCTAGCAGTCAATCTGCTACTCTTGCCACAAAGTGATTGCCCTGTCATCAGAATGGAGGGCCAATGCGCAAATCAATCTAATTTACATGTCAACAAGGCTGGCGCAGCTGCACTGAATCATGTTGCTACTCTGGACCAAGATTGGACGATGAATATGATTTGGCTAATTAGTTTTTATAATATGGTTACTTTTGTTTTTTTCATCGTAACTTTTTTTCTTCTTTTTTGGTCCCTATTAATTGTTTAGCTTCAGATGTTAGGATTTCCAGTTTGTGATAATGTATTTAATAGAGATTTGAATTCTACCTATTTTACCAAAAACAAAAAAGAGGTGTGATCCTACAAATTTTTTTTCCAATATTAAATGGATCTATATGAAAAGTTTACAGTTCTATAGGAATCTAAACAATGAGGCGAGAGGACTAAAATGAAAAAAATAAAAAATAAAAGGATTAAAATGACAGGGATAAAAAAAATTATAAGTTATATTATTGTTATTATTAATTTGCACTGTTTAGGATGACGTGATTAATTATGCAAAAAAGAGGAGCTTGAGCTGTGTTCTGTTATATTGTTGTGACTTGTAAGTAATGTATGTAAATTAACCAGGTATAATATAGTTGATATAGACTGTTGAGTTTATAATGATAAATGTTGATTTAGTGTAAACAAAAAGAAATAATCCAAAGAGTTTACGCTAGTTTAGTCAGATTGAACTAAAGAACCAAATACTATTATTTTGTTCCATTTAATACACTTTCTGATTGATCAATTATGCATAGTATAATTAGTAACAATAGTTCCTCTTGACATATTAAATCAGACATGCATTGCGCAATTAATCAAAGCAGTGATCATCCACAATTTCCCGCGGCCAATATAAGACCTACCCTTTCCTTGTTTGAAGGAAAATACCCTTGCAAAATATACTCTACTACTTAATTTCATAGTTCACAACTTGTGGTGCAACAAAGAGGACAAAAGAGAGACATTTATTGAGTTATCATAATTAATGTAATTTATATATTAAGCATTGATTCCCGTTTACGGGTGTAAGGAAAGAGATAAAAAAGAAAGAAAGAAATAATAAACGTGATAAGTAATGATGAAAAAAGAAGGAAGAAAATGTAGTGAAAAAAGAGATGGAAGACAAAATGAATTAATGTTTGTTTTTGTTTTTATTTTTGTTGTTGTTGTGTCTGCACAACTGCACATTTGATGTGTAAAAGGTTTGGGAGAAAATCCATGATATGTTGCAGTACAGTGCACAACTAGGAATAACTACAATTAATTAAGACCGATAAATAGACAAGTACTATTTAGCAACTATTTCAACACTTTCCATTGAAGCGTATAAAGCTTAAACAATATCCACCAAACTTATTACCAACCTAGCTAATTCGAGGGTGGCGTAACTAAAACATTGAATATGCCACCAAAGAAACTCAACTATTCTGCGTCTGCCTTAGAATGTTCACTGAGGTAACTCTATTAACTAGTTTTTTGAGATTGAATTAATACCAAAATCAAATTCTATTATAATTTCAGAATTTATTTTAACGATCATTGTTGAATTTGTCGAGTTACTCATTATTGAACTGCTACTAAAGTATTCATAAAAGTCTAGTCTTATAAGTTTTACAAATTCAATCTTATTTTTATATATTTTTAAGATATACTTTCTTAAAATTTGTTTTCAGAGTTAATAGTATATTTAGATGAAGAATTTTAGGAATTCTTAAAATTTAAATTACTTTGATTTCAATTTCTATCATTCTTTTGAATGTTTTGTTTAGATAAGTTATTTCAATTTTTTAAAATTTTAAATTTTTACTTTGAATATAATAATTTGATTTTCATCATGGATAAAATTAATTTTAAATATATATATATATATTTTTATTTTTTTTTTGAGATTTTAAGATTAAATTTTATAAGAATAAATGTTATTCATTTTTTAAAATATTTAGTAGTTTTAAAAATTAATATTAAATAATATTTAACAATTTAAAAATATTTTTGAATATTTGATAATTAAGAGATGAGAGAGAGAGAAAAATTATATAGGTGAGATAAGAAACAAAAAATGTAAAAAATTTCAAATTTTGACTTTTTTAGGAGAATTTAAAATTTTACTATTTTAAAGAATTTTATAAATACTTGAATTTCAACTTCTTTGTAAATTCTCTATCCAAATAAAAGATTTAATCTCAAATATTTGAAATTAAAAAAAATAAAATTACTCTATTTAAATTTGTCATTCAAAGACACTCTAAATTTATCTAGTTTCAAATCTGTCCTCCTCCCTGATTGAGGCAAGCAATATATTAAATGCTCATAAATAATAATAAAATCTGTTGCATTTATGGTGTAGAATATAATTTTCCACCGAACTTGTTAAAATTGACTAAAAGGCTTCACATTTTTTATTAAGGTCTTAAGATATGTTGTAACACCCAGTTTACTTGAGTTAGGTTTAACTTAGAAACAGCGTGAAGTTTAAACTTGTTTTAAAAGGGTTCAGAAAGAAAGTTTAAAAGTATGTATAGGGTGGTCTAGTAGTGATAGTTGAAATAACATACATATGATCCTAACTTTGAATTATGATGTTGTTATCGTAATTCTGATCGGGTAAAAAAAATATTCATTTTGAAGACCGTTGTACCAATGAGAACCATGTTTCTCAAGAATTTTTGTTTAAAATCGTGTAGAACTAAAAGACCAAAGCCTGCTTCCGGGTCCAAAAACAGTGATAGCTAAGGATGCAGAAGGGTGTGAAGCTGATTTTGTCCACAGTTGCTTTTATAATTTCAATTTGAGAGACTAATATGACAGAGACTTTTAAATTTAAAAATTAAAAAAAATACAATATGTTTATGATATTCAAATTATGAGGCTTGCAATGGGACTCTCCTATGGTTTATAAAGATTATGCCGGGGGAATGTTACCAAATTGTTATGTGCTGTATGAGCAATACACAATAGTGAAAACATAAAACTAAAATATACTCACCAAGAAAAGTAAAAAAGGGTTAAAAGTTGAACAAGTTAAATATGAACAGTGAAGAACATGATATGGATGGATAACTATAAGCTTGAGAGGACTGTTATTGCATGCGAAGATTATGCATTCTTTTGTCTGTTGACTGCCAGGATAAAGCAAAGATCCCAAAAAAGAATAAATGAACAAATAAAAGAAGCTTTCTTTATAGTAATCTGATGAGAGTGAAATATTTTCACCTAAAGATCACTTTCCAAATGAGGCCACCGTTTTACTCTCATGCATACCATGTCGTTTTCCTAGCTTCCTAGGTGTGTATCCTCTGCAACACATCAATGTAACTTGTTAAATAGTACAGAATATGTTAGTGAAATTTTCTGATAGGAGAAACAGTCACGTTGTCTACATACACAGTTGCCAAATTGTACCTTGAACTAGTACACATATCTATAATTAACTAGCCATGATGATGTGATGATCCAACATGCAAGAAAGGGTTGCATGCGTGGGTTTGGTCTGACAGAAGATAATGGAATTAAAGACAATGATGCAACAAAAAGCTTCGCAAATGGTATAGGCAAACCATGGAAAACAGAAAATATCTTTTGCCAAGAGGAAAGGACTCAAGTTACTAATTGAGAAATTATTAGATGGTCCTCCTCAGTCACATGAATTATGAATTTTTATGACATATAATTAGATGTTATTAATTTTCTTTTATAAACTAAAAAAACTTAAATATATATTATATAGGAATTAATTGAGATTATAAGTAAGTAATAATTTTTCCTATATAGTTACTAAATTAAAGTATAACAATAACTGTTTGGGTGGAAAACTCTGATTTTGTACCTCACGGTGAAAAACTTCACATCAACATCACTATCAATATCAGCTTCATAAAGTCAACACAACAGCCTTAATGTAATTTAATTTATTTGTAATGTTTTCACAGAAACTGCACTGCAAGTCATTTATGTAACTGTAAAACAACGTATTTATGGTTAAGGTGAGTTTGGAAAAAGCATACGAAGTTAATGTTGAGGTTTCATTGCTTCCTTGTCTGAGGCACCAATCTCAAAGTTGAGAAGGGTCCAAAAAATGTACATTCTCTGCAATCTGCATGGGCTTGCTTCTCTGCTTTGTTCTGCTTTACCCCTTGAATGTTGGGCCCATTCTGGTATTCCATTTACTTTGCACAATGCTGTCTCTGACTCCAAGTCCAACACCAACGACTATGTACCTTTCTTTTCCGTCTTCCTATGTTTTTATCATTTTTATTACTATTGAAATTTTTGCAGTAGGTCCAGGATATGCTACTGCTGTGCTCATCAAACTTTTACTTTAATACCAATTGTATTGCAAATACATAACTTGTTTCCAATTTATTTTAATAAACCTTTTTAGGATGACGTATGAAAAATACTTATCAAACCACGTACACCTTGTATAAAAACTAAAAACAATTTAATCTTATTTATTATTCGATTATAAAAATAACTTATACATAAATGTTTACCTGATAAATATTTATTCAATAAAATCTTAATTAGCAAATCAACCTTAAACGAACCGTTCTTGGTCATATATATAAAATTTCCAAACTCTGTACAATTTAAACAATATTTTTCATAAATGTTGAAAATTAATTTTTTAATTAAATAAACCTCACAATTATATGACATTTTTAATTCTGATTGATAGGCATATTATTTTTCAAAAATTGAACTAATTAAGTCTTTTTCTTGTAAAAAAAAAAAAAAAAGCTAATCGAGTCTTTTCTTCTGTTTTTTTTCCTCCAATAATGCAACATTAGGTTCTATTGGCAGTCTTTTTTTTTTCTTCTTCTTAAATTACTCTTTTGATTCTTTAATTTATTTAATTTATTCAATTTTCTCTCTCTCTATTGTATTAAAAGATCCAATTTAATCCCTTGATTTTTTTATTAAAACGATGCAATATGATTTTTTTTGTTAAATTAAAATCAACAATAATAATTTTTTTATATACATAATGATACATGCCATTTTTTTTATTGTGTTGTGTGTACAAGAAGTTAGTGTCATTAGTCTTGTATATACAAAAAAGAACACATTACATCCTTTTAGAAAATTATGAAGTAAATTAAATAAACTAAATTAAATGAGAGACAAAAAGAGTGGTTTGTTGAGTGGCTTTTATGTATGTTTTGCACTCAACTTTTGGCAATTTTTTTGTATAATTGTAGATAATATATATGTTATTTCACCCCTTTAATTTATAGAATTAAGTCATACTATAAGAGTAGAGGAGTAGTAGCAATCTTAAGAAATTTTCTCATTTTTTGCAGGATTTTCGGCTAGGCAGAGATCCACAGC